CCTAGAGTAAGGTACACTGCTACTGCTCTGTATGAATGGGTGTGAATGGGTGAACGACATGTAGTATGTAAAGCGCTTTGAGGGGTCTTAAAGACTGGATACAGCGCTATACAAGTACAGTCCATTTACCATTTGTGGGTGGAGTTAGTAACCTGGCTAACATCACCTGCTCACTTGGGTTTTGCATGGATAGAGAGGGGGGGTGAAATGTTCTGTTGGCCGTGATTTATTCGCAATTTCTTACCAATTTCCCACCACAATCACCATCACACTTGCACCATTACTGCTTATTTATTGTATTTTCAAATGTTTTAGTTTTGTAGTAAATGGTCACATGAAGGCAAGGAGTGGAGTGGTTTTGTGTGTGAGTGTGTCAAAGTGTTTTCTTCCAGTATTTAGCCTGTTGCAGCTCCTTTTGGAAAGCAAACAGCCACAATATGATGCTCTTAGAAAAGGATTTCTCTCCCATTATAGGGAGCTTATTTATTTAAACTCGGCTGCAGATTTGTTTTTGCACTCCATGTCCTGGGAGCTTTTTGTTTCTCTATGAATTTGGCGAATGCAAACACTATCGAGGTGGTTGTGGGGAGGGAGGCCTGCAGATTGTTTGTGCTGACAGTGAAAGAGCTGTTATCACAAACTGAGGGCTGTTTTCTCCTCGGAGCTTGCTGCCTGTGTTCATGGACACGCGATTGCATTTGTGTGTGTTGGTGTAACAACCTGGCTTCTGTCCAGCAGCTCAGACTGTCTAATAGCGTGTGGACATCTCATAAAACATTGCATGCTGGGGGAGGTTTCAAAATGTTTTTGCCTAGATGGCGAGTTTGAATTGCTCCGGGATGTTGCATCACTTCAGCTTTCCCATGTGACGATAATTATCCGTTGTTAACATGAGAGTCAGCAGAAAGTTTCTTCCAAGCCCAAATATTAGTCTGAAAGGCATGTTTCAGAGTCGATATGCTTCTCTTTGTGGTTAGAAAATAAGCTCATCAGATCACTGTTGAACACCAGCAAACTGCCGATCAATAACAACATAATTATTTTCACAGCTTGAGAGGAAAGTCCTCAAAGGGCTTCAACTATACTGTATGAGAAATGTGCTTTTCTGTTTTCTCCGTTTTCTCGATCTTTTTATGCGTTCTTCTCCGAGGTGCAGAGGGAGCATCAGGACTCCCACACAGATGACTGTGCAGATGCCTGAGAGGAAGGCAGGGAATACATCACATCTGCGGATCGATATCACTCCTCGGGGCTCGCAGGTTCACTGAATATTAAGCAACCGTGGGAAAGTTATCTCGTCACGTTCCAGGTAAGGAGAGCTAAAGCCAGCAATTATCCCATCCCCCCCCGCCCCCACTGAGGGGAGGCAGGGTTGTAATGAAAAGAGAATCTGAAGCATTTAAAATCTTGTATTTTTATAATTAACTCCATTCGGGGGAATTAATTTGACTCGGAAGATTGGTTTCCTTGCTCTGTGAATGAGTTGTTGCGGGTGTTGATTATTTCTTAAGCTACAGACAGAAGCTATCATGCCTCAGTTTTCACAAATATACCAATTACACAAAGCTGATGTGGTCATTTCAATGTTGATTTTTCACACACCACATGAAGTGACAGGTGACATTAAGCCAAGCTACCAAGTTACATTTTCAAAAAAAGCTGAGACAACATTTTAACGAGGCCTTATTGTGCTTTTTGGGGTTTCCCCATTTCCTGTGGTGTGTTATATAGGTTTGTGTGCATGTACAGTCTAATATGCTATATGTAATTTTCATTAATCTAAACATGTGATATATTATTCAACCAAATTAGATCTGATATATAGAGTTGACAGTAGATAACATCCAGGTCTTAAGGAGATTACTTATTTGTAAGAATATGCAGCTGCATGTGTTGACTTACTTGGCTAAAAACACTCCGCACACTTTTACAAATGGGTCTGTGAGGACACTTCAAACTGATATTACCCGAACATCCATCCTGTCAAGTGTTTTGTTTTCCTGCAATAGAAACCTGTGAATATCTTCTTGTACAGGGTGAAGAGAAGCAACATTATAAAGTAGAACTCTCTCTGTTTTTATGCCCTTTGTTAAAGTTTGTCACCTCCTGCGAGCTGAGAGGCTTCAGCCCCGCATGATTTAAGCTAAGATGGGAGTATTTTTAAAATCCCTTCCCAGCGCTGCTTTGAAGAAAGCAAAAAAACACTCGATTGGGGAACATTTCCACATCCCTGGGAAACAGCCTAATGAGCAAACGCCAGTCCTGTCTGACAAACTGTGATCTTACCAGAAGTCATGTTGCAATATCACAACACCCATGGGGGGAATGTAGTCAAGCTGTAGCAGAGTCTCGTGGGTAAACATTGTTAAGACAGCGGCTCTGTAAATAGAACAGCCTGCTAACATGTACAGTGCATCAGTGATGGTATGTGTCTCTGCGGTAGGGTGTGTGTCGTGGCTCCCAGAGTGCCACCAGCCCACCATTAGTCTGAGCTCTGTGTCTCTGTCAAAGTCCCTCAGCGTCCCCCTCCTCTCCGAGTGGAGAGACCGTGACAGTTAGCAAGCGCCTCGGCTGCACACATCACTGATACTAATGGGGACGGAAGGCTGGTGTAGGGTGGCAGAGCTCTTTCTTGTGTGTGTGTGTGTGTGTGTGTGTGTGTGTGCATATGGGGTAACCAGAGTCAGGATTACACGAGTGTGGTTGCTCTGCGGCACGGAGATCAATTCATGTCGCTGCGGCAAATGGCATGACAACCAGTCTCCTCCCCATCGCCATCTGCCTCCTCTGTGCCAATTTGTCTCGGCACATCCGAGTGTGTCCGTGCCCTCGTTTAACATTGAGCAAGAGCACAAGACGGGGAGGAAGGAAAAGGAATAGAATGGAGCGAATAAGGGCCACTGATAAAGAAAGGAGCCCTCAGGGTGAACAGGGAGAGAGGTTAACTGGAGTTTATCAGAGGGCAAAGACAAGGAATATACTCAGGGGGGCATCTCCGTGTGCTCAGGTACAAAATACACCTGCATCGTCCTGGATTTTAAAACTAGGACTGACACGTCTTCTCACTTTCTGCCAATGTTTTTCATCTAAAAACACAGAAATTCCAAAGATTTGAATCTAAAAGCATGACAAAAACAAACTGAGACCGCTGATATTCTCAGTATGGTACTGATATTGATATAATATGGTCTCCCTAATTTGGTAGCTTTAAAAAAAACAGGTGCCAAGACTAGGTTCCTGCCGACAGGTGGTGGGGAGTGGAACAGAGTTAATGTGAATAACGATATGAACTAAACTGGTAGGTGACTGCGGGGTTCAGAGTTTAATTCAGCGCATTTACTTTAAGTTGTGCAAATTGAAACAGGGCCGGGTTAACAGAGAGCATCCCGTTGTTCTGGTTTGGCATACAGAGAACCGTTTTGTTTTTTCTACTAAAGCATGTGGGCCGTGAACAAATGTTCATACATGCGAAATATGTAGCAAACTGTGCTTCACTTATGGTGGGAAGGACACACTGCCTGCATTGTCAAGTGAGTGGGTGACAAGATACGAGAGCAATGCCACTCACTCCCTTTCTGCCTCCGTCTCTCTAGCATTTTTGGCACGATAATACCTCTATTCATCTCGCCGGTCTGATCATGTTTCACGCCTGTGCGACCGCATTGACTGCCGTTCTGTCCCATTTCACCCCCTTTGATATGTCTTTGTGTCATCAATAATGACAGGCAGAAAATGGCCGTCCACATCGGGGGCCCCTCATGCCACCTCGATGCCAGCAATCCAGTTCAATACCTCGTTCATATATACTCTGCCGTCCTTCCTAATCATCATGTATTGTTTCCCTGCTGTCAGCAGTGGGCTTCTATTCATTTTGACTGACGCACAATACTCCACAATGGCCTCGTGTTGCACATGTGCACAGCTAGCCAAAAAAAGAGATCACAGCACAATGGTAGCGCTTTGAAAAGGGGGCATGAATAAAGAGTTGGCCCGACTGTCAAATCGCTGCAAATAAGAGCTCAGCTAGCTACCGGAAAACAACAGTGTGTTTGTGTTGCATAACGTAAAGCTACGTGTCTGTTTGTCTACCTGGGTGTGTGAGGCAGAGCGTTGATTGAAAGCTCTCTTTGTGCCACTTTGGAAAAACACTTCAAAATCATGACCTGCACTAGCTTATACAATCAGGTATGGGTGTAATGAAGGAAGGCTATTAACAGACAGAGGCAGACATTTCTCTCTCCATTTCTGTGGCAATCTGAGCCGCACACGATTTTAACTTGAACAAATATTATTATTTCCAACGACCCACAGTATTGTTGGTTTTTCCTGGGACACTCATGGGGTTTCATTGAGTGTCTTTGATGGACAAACACTGTTGTAGGTAGGGCTGTGCAATTAATCGTATTTTAAATCGCAATTACGATTTTGGCCTGCCACAATTACGAAAACAACATAATCGAAAAAAATGATTATTTTGCTTTGCTAGGTTGTGACATATTTGATCTAATTTATTTTAGTCTAATTTATTTTTATTTATCATATTTACATATGTTTAGTAGCTTGTTGAAGTGTGCTCCAAAATATTTGTTGATCTTGTTTATTGGTATTTATTATTTTGATATTATTTATTTTTGTATTGGTTTTTCAGTTGAATTATACGTTCAGGGTAATCAACAGTTAAAAAGATACTGTTCAAATTATTATTTGTATTTGTTTTAAAGTTCAATAAATGGATGTTTTCAAAGTCAATGAATAATCGTATTTAATAATCGTGATATCAATTATTGACCAAAATAATCGTGATTATGATTTTTGCCATAATCGCACAGCCCTAGTTGTAGGTATTTCAAGATACTTTACTGATCAACAAGTCCAGTATGTTTTGTTCTCAAAAACCACAATGAGGTCAACAAAACAAACGGTCAAAGCTGAAAATAGATGACATTTGTGATATTTATGACGATGCAAAATGAGAAAACAGGAATCATAATTGTACTTACAGAAAGGTTTTGTGACGTCCAATGCTCCACCAATCCACAAGTCTTTAGCTCCTTCCACTCCTCTCAGGATTGGGTCTGTATCCTTGTAGGGGTATTGGGGGGGGGGGGGGGGGGTCAGTGGAGTGTCAGGGGTTGAAACCCCCTTTGAGATTCTTCCCTCTAAAAATGTTCAGTCTTCCACAAACTTCCTGTGAGAGCAAACAGAAACAAACATGAGAATGAACAACAGCACGAGAGCACCAGCTGCACTGCAAACACACCGGCTGAGAAACATCAGGGGTTTGTCTCTTTGGCTTTTACGGGGCCGATGACCCTCTGAACCCGCAGAGAGGGGCTCCATCTTCTCTCAGTGCAATCTCCTCAGTTACTCTGCTGTCATAACATCACGGCTAACACAAGCAGAGAGGCCATACACAGAGCCAGATGTTAGGCAAATCATGGCGATGAAAGGAAGAGGGCTGCGTGGTTCCTGGAAGATGCTTAATGTTTCCTTTTTAATAGGAGAACATGCACTGTAAAACTACTTTGGAATAATGTACATACAGTATATCCATGTTCTGTTGATGCACATTTGCTCAAATATATATATTCACGAACATGATATCAGTGTTTGTGTCCAAGTGTAGTTACTGTATACTGAAAACATAATAGACAAGTCACGAGTTCAGGATGATTGTGTCCAAACCTCCACCCACACTCTGTTTTCATAACTGACAACGTGGAATAAATAGTGTGAAGAGTATCAGGACTTGTGTTACTCAGGATCATGTCTGCTGCTCAGAAAAGTAATTGCTACCAAAAGGAAAAGCATGAAAACCAGATCGGTGGAGAGGTATGAGTGACAGGTGATCACTCTGAAATGTTCGCACTTTAAAAACGCACTGAAACGCCTCCATTGGACTTCTTTGTTTACTACCGTGACATTATGACATCACTATGTAAAACTCGCACTTCTATTGGCTAGCGCTCCAACACATTGTACGTGATAGAGATGTCCCGCCCCTTAGCCTAAGTGGTCGACCAATCACTACAGAGCCGGCCAGCTAACCAATCAGAGCAGACTGGGCTCTGGTTTCAGACAGAGGGTGAAAAGAGGTGCTGCAGCACAGGCAGTATGAGAGAAATAAAGAGCTTTTTGAACATTAAAGCATGTCACAGTAGAAAACAAAACAAAAGTAAATATTAAATCATAAATCACAAATATGAACGTTGCTTTCTTTAGCTCAGCTCACCAACTTGACTGCCAACCTTTTAACAGCCTTCTACCCGAGCTAAAGACTAACTTCCTGCTCTTGTAAGTTCAGAAACCTCCCAACAAGCACACACACACAAACAAACAGGCCGCACAGTGGTGACTAACGAACAGCAAGTATTCCATGGATTTTCTGTAACCGAGCTTACCTCCTACACAGAAAGTTTCACCTACGCACTTACACCCACAGCCTCATGGTACACAAATGAGGAAGGGGTTTGGGATGGAGGTTGTGACCGCAGAGTGATTACTCATGTTCTTATCCCTGGATAAAGCGCGTCCAGCTCACTGACTCTGAGCTGCATTGCTTTCCCAATCCCTCCTGAAAGAGGCGGCTGACTGCAGCTGCTGTGAGCTCAACACCGTCGACTCCCACCGAGGCTTCTTACAGCCACTGAAGGCCTGTAAATACTTAACAACCTCGGCATCCTGCACATTAAGCAGCGCTGTGACAGCCTTGGCCCGCTCGCTGATGGTGACTTAACCTGGGCGCTGTAAAGATGGCCGTAGTCACAAAGAGGGCGGGTTAGTGGAAAGGTAATGGACGCCGTAACTAATGACAGCAGGTCTGAGTCATGGGACACACACACACACACACACACACACACACACACACGTCATTGTGGACAGGCCACAGCTGTTTCTCCTGTCAAAAATCATCACCATCCCATAGAGCTGGGAGTTCAGACACAAGTCAATATCACACTCTTAATAAAAAGGCCTTTTTTAATACCAACACACAGTAGAGTAGAGATGGGAGAAAGATGAAGCAAAAACTAAAAATAAAGATGTATTGCTCCTTGCAATAGATCCTGAAGTCTCTGAACTTTGATTAAAGGAGGATATTGTAGCCCCACCATCTCTCAAACAGCACATTAGATATTAAGGTATGATGTGTGTTGCACTGTGAAGGTTGTAGCATATTATTCCTATTACTTTCCTGCTGATCAAAGCCATCAAATGAACAACTTTCCCTTATATTGAAGCGCATTGTTGTGTTTTACATGAATTTAAAGTCTTTCTTTGCCATCGGTCGGCTGTATCTAACAATTATTTTCAGTATCCATTCATCTGCAGCTTATTTATGCTCGATTAGACACAAAAGGTCTTGTTTCATGTCTATAACAATGTCAGAAGATTATGAAAACACACTAAAAGTTTCATAAAGCCCCAGGTGAAATATTCTGTCCAAACAAAAGTCCAAAATGAAGAGATTCACATTACAGATTAGTTCAAAATCAAAATAGCTGCCGATTAAAGTGTGAACGATCATTTAAGAAAAGCACATTGGAGAAATGCAAAACATATGACTCAACTCCACCTTCAAAAAAACTATTTTTGATTTAAATTAGCTTGAAATGCTGAATTAGGACATCATGTAATCATATCACGATTAGATTACACTGAAAGTAAATATTAAATCATAGCCCAGCCCCGAGTGCCAAAGCTCTAACAGCGTACCCTCAAAAATAACATGCTGATAGGATAACCAACATGATTACCAGCCGCTGGCACGGAGGTAAGCTGAATCAGAGTTAGCAGATTCGGTTAAAGAGGACACAGGAAGGCTGTGTGTCTGTGTGTAGCTCGGGAAGTTTACAGTTAAGCTTGAAACAAAGAGCTTTACTCGTTTTGTTCCGTTGTTTTCCGGCCCGAAACCTGCACACAGCAGGTTCCAGGATCGATTTGAGCGAATGAGATCAGCTGGTGGGACTGCTGTCCAGCTCGGTAACCTCAGCTGCTGCAGCTATTAGACCCGGTGATCATATAACACATGGGAGATGAAGGATAATGTTGCCGTGATTGTTTCATTGCCACACAGCGATCATTGTGCCCCGGCATTAGCGGCGTCCTATAATTTCTAATCTCATTTCCTGGAAATAGCCCCGCTGAGAGGCCGCCCTTTATTCTGCCATAATAGTTTGGAGGTGAGCCCCATTAACCAAATGAGCTTTTTTCAGAGCACAACATTCCTATTAACGCCACTCAAACAATCCCTCATCTCCTTGAGCTTCCACAAAGACCACAAGATCCACCGAGGCGTCATCACACTTTTAGGATACTCAATCTCCCCCGAGCAATGTTGGCCTTCCCTTACCAAAATCACCCCCTAAACAGATTCATCCCACGCAGACTGACACACCACAGTCCCCACCTCCACTCCCACTACTCTCTGGAAATGTCCCAGCAGGCTTTGCAGTGCTCACTGGGTTGTGGTAGTGATCAATGGCCCCTGGCTGTGGGTGTCGGGGGGGGGGGGGCCCTGGGCTCCAGGAATGGAGGTATTAATAATGCAAGGTCCAGGCCTGTCATATCCTCCATTAGCACCGGAGAGGCGGGAGGCCCACCGGCTGATTGATTACTAATTAGATTAATTGCCGTCTTTTAGAGAAGGAGGAGAATGTAATAGACTGGGGGCGTGAGGGTAGAGGAGTCTGACAAATGTCCAGTGAGACTATTTAAAAAAAGGGTTTTCAAATTAGGAATAGCTCATATCTATTCCCTCTGAGATGAGTGTTCAATACGGGAAAGAGTCTTTGTTATAAACAAGAATTTAATTAAAGTTCAAGCCATTACTTTTAAAATGTCAAACACATCCACGATGCACCTGCGTATAAAATAAATACATCTGACCACACCGCTAACCGAGGCAGACACGCGTGTTGCAGTTTTCATTTCCCCTTCCTATTCACATTAGTGTCTTGTTAGCTATCACTTTCTCCAAAACACAACATGATAAGGCCCTTCAGTTTTAATGTGTGATGATAGTGTTACTGAACATTTGCTAAAGGGTGCAGAGGTGTGGGGAGATTGACCTAATCTTCCCACTGTCCTTTGAAGATAAAACTAGTCAAACAAAGCTGTGGACTTCACATTGAGTCTGAGGGGCAGACTAAAGGGAGCAGCAGGACTAATCCACTAATATCTTCATGATTTAAAGCATTCCACTGCATATTGTAGAATATCTTAAACCTCAAATGTTTTCTCAGAAACAAATTATTGTTCTGAATCAGTTGAAATATGTTTGCCAGTTTTCCAGTTTGATACTAAAAAAAATCATTTGCTGGCCACTTAGTGTCATTGTATAACCTCCGACATGATGAATGCGATTCATTTTAGGGTGAGGACATATTTATTGCAGAATTGATTGGAAGCAAGTCTGTGGAAAGTTGTTCTACTTCATTTCAATTATCCTTGCTTTTAATGAATACAACTGGTCATAAAAGTATTTTTAGGAACATTTCCATCCTGGTAGAAAAAAAACGGAATATAGTAGTCGGTGTTTAAAAACAAGAAAAACTGGCATTAAGCTTAGAAGTCAAATTAATTGGCGGGCTTGTATCATCATCACGGCTGCGATTATTTCTGTCCAAATCACAGCTTCATTGCTAACAAGTGGCGAGGCAGGAATGCGTCTATGATTTCTGAGCATGAGACTAATTGGCACATTGGTATGGCCACACTCATTACAAACACCCACACTCAACATAAATAGCCTCACACTTCTGAGGGGATAATGCCTTCCAAATAGGGAGCTGCATTATTTGTCTCAGCCTGTCTCTGCACGGCTGCTTCTCGCCAACCTCGGGGGGGGGGGAACAGACCCAACGTACAGTGGTATGTTTAGCAGAATAAATGTGCCGAATTGTTCATTTCCAAGAGGCCTGTAAAAGACATGAAATTTGGCCCAATTGCAATAATTACATGAACGAAGAATGTGGTGCACATCCACACCTCTGATATAATGATGTGCTCAGTAATGGGAGGATGGAGCGCCTACGATGGGCTCCTTCAACATGGGACCGCTTATCTCATGTCATGAATCATACAGATTGCTCCTTATCTCGCATCTTTGACAGTGAGATGGGTCTTCATGCTTTCTTGTCACAAGTGAGTTCTTGAGGAGCTGTCACGATGGAGTGGAACATTAGACCA